CTTAGCTTTCTGTGAAGTGTTTTAAAAGTTTGTGTGTTCTTGCATTTAGTCCAAACAGATGTATTGTGTTCATTTACAAACCCTTACACATTCTGTGTGTGATAATATTCTGGAAATATATCACAATAGGACACTGAACTCTGGTATTTCTGATGGCCTTATTTACAGACCTGCTTCTGAAATTTCAGCTTTTGTGTGGCATTACTGTTGGTAGGTATGATTCTAGAAAGGGTTAAAGTTGGTATTTTTCTTGTTTTGTAATCAAATCTAATGATATGATATCAGTTTGAAATATAGAAAATGACAGCTTAAAAAAAACAACTTCAGAAATACCTAAATTAGAATTAACAGAAAGATAATACTTCATATAATCAAACTTCATTATCTGGCAAGTATCCTAATTGTATTTTGTTACTTAAGCAAAACTGCTGTTAACTGCAAAGGTGTTTCATGTCTTCCATTTAAAACAATCAAATTAGAGACTCTGAATATTAGTTATGATTAGAGGTGTGCAAATATGTGAGCTTTTTGCTTTGTTTGGTTGTCTTTTTCTTGTGGTTGGCAGATAGGAGAAATAAAGACATCATCTGAGGCAGGTGTTTAGGTTAGCTTGCAATTAGCTTTTGAATATTTAATGGAAAACAGAAATTGAATTAATAGCTTATTCATCTGAGCAAATCTATATGTTTAATTTTTTGTAAGAATTTTTTTTTAAGTTAAGGTATTTTTCACCACTGATTTAGACTGAAAACAAAATTCCTTTTAATTATTCTAAATGAACCATCTAGATAGCTCAACATTTCTATTTTAACTTCCTTGTTAAGACTTGAGCTAAGCTCCAAATGGTTTGTAAAATGTGTACATTCCAGAATATGCAACTTTATATTCCATCCTTTCTTCAATAGGAGGTGTGCTCAGCAAAGCACCTTGCAGGTTTGTGGATACATCCTTTGATAAATATTGCAAATTTTTTACTTTAGAATTCTGACTGATTTTAGAGACTTTTTATCTGTGTCCTCTTGGAAAAAGTTATCTGTGTCCCAGTTTTAAAGAGCTATCTGTGTCTCTGTCTTTACAAATTAAAAAATTACATTGAATGTAGGAGAGTGTATCTAATAAACTACAACAGAAAAGTACAGAGATTACTCTGAACATTTTATATTGTTCTCTAATTGACTAAATCCATTAATGTTACAATATGACAAATTCATGCCAAATATGCAAATAATACAATTTTTTATGCAGTATTCCCACATGCTAATATAGAAAATAAAAGTAAGTAAGGAAGGTGTAAAACAGTATGCTTATCCTGATTTTCCACTCAGTGAAGATGAATTTTCTGGTATTAAATTCTCAAGCAAATTAGTAGTTTGCTTTAATTCATTTAAGTACTTCAGCATGTGCTTAAACTAAAGCACATACTCAGCACTTTGCTGACACCAGGAAGCTGACTTTTGGCAAAAGCATATTAAGATAAATTCAGTTGGATCCCTTAATTTTCACAGATGTTGGATATGGACTTTTCAGTTTTATCTATAATAGGAACTTTTCATGCTTCATAAATACAGTTTGTAAGAATACAGTAACTGAACCTTATTATACTATGGAATGGAAATCTTGTGATTCCCAACTGGATTCCTTCTACAAAGCAGATAGGATTGTACGATCCCAAAATTTCAGAGTGCTGCTGTGGAAGATGCATAATTTTTCAAGTGTTTTTACCATGATAGCAGATCTTGCCTTATGATAAGTTTCAAAGACAGAAGACCAGAAATGGAGAGCACATATTGGTTTACTGCCCATTTCTATCCCCCTGGGTGTTAATTCCAAGAACTCTGAAGAAGAAAGTTAAAAATGAGAAAACAAGATGTGAAAATAGAAAAAAAGGAAGATTCTGTGAGGTTTTGGAAAGCTTTAATATTGAGTAATTGCTGATATGTGACTTGTCTAGCTCCATTTTTGTATCACATTACTTTCTGCATAATATTTTTCTTTTTTGAAAACTTTAAAATATTTCTATTATGAAAACTGTAAACTGAATAGTTGGGTTGTTAAAATCCATGCACCAAGTTATATGCAATTCTTAATGTTATATGGAAGCATGAAGTTCAAATCCAAATGGGTGCTAACTTGTCTCCTGAAAAGAATGGTGCAGTTAGACTTAGACACAGGGATATGCAAGGTGAGATTCATCCTGTTTAGTTTAGGTGTACATAGCAGACATTGCTATCTGCTTCTCATAAAAGTCAGCCAAGCAGCTACAGTTAAAAATTTCTCCAACATGAAGACAGAGAGTCATGCAAGGCGGTGTTGAATGTTGCATAAATTTCTGAGAATTGAGCTCTTTACAACAGAACAGCTTTGACTCAAATGAGCCAAAGGAGTTAGATGTATGGTGGGATTTGTCTCACTTGAGTTCCGATTTCTATGATGTTTCGATATGATTTATTTACTTTGATTTTCCATTATAGCCAACAGGGGGGAAAAGTAATTTCTTGTCCAACGTATGTTGTTGTATATAATTATGATGATTGGCCCTAGAGTTGTCTGCTTCTCTCTTCAGGCTATGAGGAAATTTAAGTTGATAAGCTGAAATGTAGATATTGATGTTGTAGACATCAAAAGTTAAGGGATGAAAATCCCATAATATCTCTATGAAGATCTCTTTTTGGATGATCTAGGCCAGAGGTGTTATTCCAGGAAAGGCCTGATCCTACAGAACAGTTGTACCAGGTTGTCATGCAAAACATTCTTCTGTCTGAACACTGACAACCTTATGTAAATAACATTATTAGATGTTTGTAACAAGTTCTATTTTAGTTAGAGTAATTAATAAATTAACTTAGTTCCCAAGTATTTAAATTCTTTAGGTGTACACAACAGATTGATGATGATTGAATGTGCAGGATACATGTACATGAGGTGATTCTAAGATGCATTCAGCTCTGGTGTGTCTGATGCATATGCCTCTAAACAGGGAGTCTATGCAGACAGTGTATTGGGAAGAAAAAGAGCAAAGAGGAGCATGGATGCACTATGATTTTGAGCATTTTCCTGGATTTTAGTTGCTATTCAGCACTGTGTAGCAAACAGTCGTGTCACTAAAATGTCAAACTACACAACAGCTCTATATGGAAGCAAATGAAGGGCTGAAATATTCCTGTGGCTGGAGAGCCCTTTTTTTCTAGCTGGCCTGCAAATTAGAGACACTGCAAATGTCAAGATGGACTAGCTCAGGTGGTAAGCAACCCATCAGGGAAAATAGAATTTCCCTGGAGTTGTGTTCAGCTAGACAACAGAAAGGTTTAAAGTGCAAAGAACTGAACTATTAATGTCAAGGCTTGTCTTCATAAGCCTTTCTTCATGCAGCCATTCTGTGTCCAGTGGATGCTCTGGTCAGGTGTGGTACCCATCACATACTTTTTTCCAAGTGGAAGTGTGTCTGATGTGATGTAGAGAACTCTTCAGATATGCCCTTCTTGCCGAGAAGTTTACTTTGTTTATATCTTCAGCTGTAAGTTTATATATGTTGTAATAAAGCTTTCTTATGGGCTAGAAAAAAAGCTAGACTGTTTTTTCCCAAGTACGGTAGAAAATTGCTACAATAGTTAATTAGAAAAAAATAACGGAGAATATTATGCACCTAGAAAAGCTAAATATATTTTGTAGTCTACTGTGTTTTGAGGTACTAAAATGGCTATCAAGTATATTTGGCTTTTTGTGGTTTCTGCTGTTGACTTTTACTAACACATTGGATTACTAATACTTCATCTAGGTAAAAGAAAAGAGAGCGGTGCCATATAGACCTTATGAAAATAATTAAACTTGCATCTGGACATCTGTTCATCCTTTTTAAGGTGTCATTTCTTTCCTTGTTATGCTGGTAAGCCCAGATTGCAACATATTTCAAATTGTGAATTGTTAAAGGTGCTGCAGAACAGTGCTCTGGGTAAATGTAGGATTGTTTTTTATTCCCTGTGACTGCTGATGCTCCTGGTAATAGAGGAAATAATGTCTGGATAGAATAATCAGTGGATCTGCATTTTTTTCTTATATACCCAGTTTAGAGAAACAGATTTGGGAAAACATAAATCTCTCCCCTCAAAGGCAGGAATGAAAGAATCGTCAAGACTTGGTGTATGCCAAAAGAGTTCCATATACCTTTGAAGTGTATACCTGCTTTTGCTGCATACATCATCCCCTATTACAGGTTAGATTTTGAGATGTTTGCGTGTCAGACAGAACAGAAAAATGACAAATGGTTCGTGCAGTTATTCTCTTCCCTCTCATACTATCTTCAAATGATAGCATTAAGGAGAAAGGAGTTTAGAAGTATTCCTACAGAGCTAAAAGGGAGC